ATTTTTCAAAGTGGCTGTCTATTTATGCTGAACAAATGATCCATGTCCTGTTGTGACTTAGAGATTAATACGCTGGAAAGTAGAGTAGAGTAAACTCAAATTTGCAGGTAAAGCCCACTATGATTTATTTCCTAAAAGGCGTTATCGTACATACCTGAGCGCAGTTCGGTCTCCTCTCATCTGCCACGGGGCTCTATTCAGAGTCCTCTGCTACAACTGATCACCAGCATACCGTAGTGCATGTAAGGCCCTTATGGTAAGATGGACTCTTGCGGTATTTCTCTTGGAATGTTGCCTATTTTTACTCTGGAAGGCCGGGGTTTTCCTGAGAGCCACTTGTTTTATTCAACCCGGTAGAATTAGTTTCCTTAGGGGATAAATCTGGATTCAAATCGTAGTCCAGCATGGATACGAAAGTTCCTTAACTTCATGGGAGGTTGGAGCAATATCGTCTCGTGGAGCTTTGGCTGTTTAGTTGTTTTCCACTTCAAAATTACCAAGAAATATAGCTTCCTATGCAAGAATTTGTGTGTTTGTGTGTATAACGTTAAAGTATGTATGCTCTAACTTAACCCGCATTTTAAAGGCGAATTTCTTTATTCCTCATGTCACTGAGTTTCCATTTTTCCTGACTTCAGTGCGCACAGAGGGACCCTTGCGAGTCTGGTAAGCGACAGCGGAAAATTTCCTGCTTTTCACTTCGCGCTAACGGCGGTCTGCGCCGACTCAGCCTTGCCGCATGCTATTCACGACGCATCAGACCGCCGCCGGTCTGGGAGCGCTGCTTTCTGCAGAACATCGGCAAGTGCAGCTCGAAGGCTCCAGTGATCGAGGAGGACCGGCAGACTGTGGTGCAGATGCGAGAGGTGAGATGATTGGTTCTTTCCTTAATAGCCCTCAGTAGACAATCATGAATATGTTTAAGTCTCACCAAGTTTGGCCATTCCCAAACTGTGTATACATGAGGTAAATCTGGATGTGGCTTTATCAGAAAACGAATGACTTAGTGCTTGATGAATTTCAGATATGAATAAAAGCTGGGTTTCGAAGAATCCCTTAGTAAATTGATGCTGAGGTGCATTAAATATCGTTTAAAAAGCGAGTGTTATTTGAGTTGTAAATTGGCTTTACCAGATAAAGAGGAAGGATTGCCTTACATTTGTAAAAATCGGATTGTGTAACATTGACCTCGGCTTATCTTTCTGCGATACCGATGAGTCCGTGCTGAGATATCGTCTGTTACGTGAAAAACATCGTCATAGCCAGAAACTATTACCAACACTTCACCTAAAAATGTTCAATCAAAAAATTTGGCCGACTAAAAACATATTTATTATTCTTAATTTTGTTACCTCAATGAGTCTCCCACTATTTGATTGGCTACTTCATGCCTGCCCTAGAGGAATGCATACGAGCGAAGTTGAGGCCAATCAGGAATATGCTTAAGGCCCAACAAGTTAGACTATTCCCAATTCATTAATAATTGCGAGTCGTCTGATGAAAAGATAAGTAATCACGAATCGTAATTGAGCTTCATCAGACACTGAAATAGGATTGAAGTGAATGGTTTACTGGTTGGAGAACTCCGTCTTAAGAATGGCTTATATCAATGAAGATGTCTGTTATAGTAAGATAGACGAGAAGTCACTACAGATAAAGCTTGATGGCAAAACGGTGTGCCAACATCTTCGCCAAATTCAATGATCCTAGCTGCGTAAAGAGCCTCTTTCGGTTTCCGATGCCAACTATTTATGAACCTCTTCTACTCAAAGTTCAAACAGAAGGAAAATATTCCATGATATATTATGATAAAATAGGTTTTCGAGAGTATCCCTTTGTTATGCAGTCATTTTACTTTAACATGGTGTCAAGTTCGACGCTGTCCACGATATATCATCCCTCTTTTTGTGTGAAAAGGGTGAAGGCTTCATCCATCGTTTCGTCAGATCTGGAACTCATTATTTATAAGCTTCAAGTTAGCACCAACCCAATAATTCAACTTTAAAGAGATTTTCTCCTTTCTCAAGACTGAGTTCCAGCCATGATGATGTTCATCAAGTGGTATGGCTGACGAAAGTTCGACCTGTTTTCATCTGAAATGATGGAGAATGTCTCGCGGATAACGTCAGCCCAAAAGTTGTAGTAATAACAAACGGGAGTAGAGTAACTGGACACAACCGTTGTCTTCTGGTGAATATTTTCTTTACACATTTTATAATGAAATGAAAGTTTCCATAACAGTCGACTGAATGTCTAATACACGTTTACCTTATCGAAAATCTTGAAAACAACTTTCTTAGGAGATACGTCTAGTTTATGTTGTTTAGCCTCA